AGATCTCAGAGGAAAAATAAGCTCAAATCCCTTCTTTTATAAGGAATGGAGCACCCACAGTAAAAGGAGTAGCGGGGCCCACCGCCTGTAGTACCTCACAATGTACTGGATGCTCCAGCGCACCGCTGACTTCAGTACTTCTTTGAACAATCTTGCAAAATAGGTACAAGTTTCCATTTTCCAGCTAAGAAAACAGAATCAGGAAGCCAGAGTTCCTGCAAATGGGCTGTGGGGTGAGCTAGACGGAAAGAATCCAGGTTCCTGTGCTCTGGATCCCACACAGTGCTCTGCTGAAGATGAAGAAGAGTTTTCAAAACATGAGGAGGAAGATGAAATTAACCTGGGTACCTGTTCTTAGAGTTTAGACTCCCACTCTCTTATCCAGACCTTTTGGGGCAAGGCAGAGTGCAACACCTCTATATGACAGCAAACAAGTTCTAGGTGGAGCAGAGCTAGATTTGGGGATGATGGAGAGGAGGAGGAGGAAGAGGAGGAGCAGGAGGGAGGAAGAGGAGCAGGAGGAAGATAAAAAAGATGCCAGCTTCTAAGTACGTTCTGGGATCCAGTGTCTCAAATATGCTCTTTTGCTCGATTCTCCCAATTCTGTGATTTGCTGCTATTTCCATCTTACTCATGAATCTGAAACACAGAGAGGTTCAGCCACTGGCTCAAGGTCATGTCACTTGGTGAAAAAGTGCAGAGTGGACACAGAACTATCTTCCCTCCGAGGAGGCCATATTCTTTTCTAAGCAGCTTCTCCTTGATCAGGCCCCAGCTCAGCTGCTCACACAAGGCTAGTGCCGTGAGCAGTCCTGGGAGTACTAGGGATGGTTCTCCACCAGGGGGCAGCCTTTGAGGCCCCTCAGGCACCACTCATAGTGTAAGTCTCATCTGAAATGGTAGGGTGGCTTCCCAAGACAAAGGAGGAGACACAGGAAAAGCAAGTATGTGGAAACTCAAGGTCTAGGCTGCCTTGAGTTAGAGGAAAGACTGTCTTGTAGTAGGCAGTGGGTACCCCAGTCTCAGGGAGGCCCCTGGGTATGCTACGCAGGTCAGTGAGCAGAGCCAAAGTCTGTGAAACTGAGCATAGGAAGCAGGAGGAGGTCCAGCCTTTTTCAAATAGAAGTCTCGTGGGCTGAGAGACATAGCTCATGGTTAATCTAAGAGCCTGCCCTAGGATTCTGGATGCCTGAGTAGTGAATTAGCTCTTGTAGTTCTGTAGATAGGGAGTGCAACTAGAAAGGGAAACTCTTTTGCTACACAGTTCAGACTCAGAGAGCTCCTCCTGTCTCAGCCTCCCCAGCACTGGAATTACAGGTGTGCACCACCACGCCCAGTTTCAGGGCCTGCACAGCATGAGGCATCAGAGATTGACAGGGAAACTCTTGAGAGACTGAGAGCTGAGTTTGTGCCTGGCTGGCAGTGTTGTACTGTGCTCTACGGCCATATCCTTGAGCTGGGTGAAACACGTCAGACTCAGTTGAACACATGCCAGACTACCACACAGGCAGAACTCTCCAACCTCTAAAACTTGAGGAGGTCATTTTGTTCTAGCCCAATGATGCATTCTCCTTTGTAAGGATTTGGGTATCAGAAGACTTAGATCTTTCCTTGTCCCTGGATAATTCCACTTTTTTTTTTGTTCTGACTGCAACACCGTCCGATCTGTCCACATGCTGCCCAACCCGTGTCTTCCCACCTTAGACGTTTTCTACTGACATCTGTCCACGTAGTTACTGTGAGGGTCAGAGGCGGAGGTGCAATTAATGTTGCTTCACAGAGATGAAGGAACCCAGATGATGTCGTAGTGTTGGGTCGATCAGCAAAACGTGTGTTGATGTAGCTAAGGCCTTGAGATGCGGGTCGGGCGCAAGTCGCTGCGAGGCAGGACCTTTAACTTTCTGGGCCTGACTATTAGTTTAACAGAGAAAAAAGAAAAAAAAAAAAGTTTTTTCAAGAGTGTGAAACTGGTTGTTTCATTGGGCTTTTCATTGGGCTGGTGAAATTACATACACCGATAGAGGGCGCTACAGCAGCACAAATGGGGCCGCTGGACGCAGGGCCTCATTGCAGAAAGATTTGTAAATTAAGCTTATTTCACAGAATTTGAGGATGCAACAGAGAAGAGGCAACACATCTAAGAACATCGCTAACACGGATTTTGTTGTCAAATGTTGTTTACTGCAGTAACTAAGTATTTAATTAGGATGGACATTGTGAAGGAAAGTAAGACTTTCAGACTGTTTTTATCCCGGTGACTAAGGTACAGAAAGATGTGTCCCTTCCCAACCCCCTTAACAGGCCGTATTAAAGGGGGTTTTAACAAATCTTTGGGCTTACTAAGGTTTGGAAGTATAATCAGTTCAAAATAATACGGGCTGTCAAGAATCAGTAAGATGCCAGTGAGATAGCTCAGCGATCTAAAGCACCTGCTTAGCCAAGCTTAGGCAAATGTGGGGACCACGGTTCGATCCCCAACACCGCATGGTGTGTCAGCCCCAACCCCAGGGCAGGCTGAGCTGGACACACACACACACACACACACACACACACACACACACACACACACACACACTAAAAGAATCAGTAAGAAGTAGGACTTCAAAGGAACAGTCAATGCACGGAATATTAACAGGCACTGTTTTCTGCCTGGTAGCTCAGCTTGGCCACAACATGTTACCTGAGACTCACTAATTTACCTCAGGGTTAGTTCCATATTTGTGAAGTGGGAGAAGAGTGAGATGTGGTCATTGAACTTGACATTGTCTTGATGATAGCTTTTCCTCCACACGTTACGTAGAGGACCAGCAGGGCCATTTGCTCTTACATAGTACAGAATTCAGTGTCCTGTATTTGGCTGGGTGACCCTCAGGCTATATTAGTTATTCTTTTTATAGCAGCAGCTAAGAAGAAATATGATTGTGTTGGAATGTTGGGATTCCTCCAAAACTTGTGTGTGGGAACTTAACCCCTGAGATGGGAGTGTGAAGAGGAGGGGAGGACTTGGGAGGTGGTTAGGTCAGAGGGCTCCTCGCCCCTGGATGGAATTAGTGCCTTTAGAAAAGAGCTTGAGGGAGTGAGTTTGCTTCTTTCTGTCCTTCCCACCATGTTAGGAAACAACAAGAGAAGCAGAGACTGGCCCATGCCAAAAGCCAAATTTTCTAAAGTCTCGATCTCATGCCTCCTAGCCCAAAGAACTGTAAGGAATGAATTTCCATTCTGCGTAAACATCCCAGTCGACAGTATGGTGTTATAGCAGTTCAAATGAACAAAGACAACAAATTTTCTAGAATCATATTTTCTTCTTTTACAGGTTAATTTTTTTCCTGCAAAACTAAGACTCACTCAGTCCTACATGCCCAATGATGAAAAAATTCAACATTTGATTATATTACCTTATCATAAAATGAGAAAAAGGAGGAAACCACCAAATGGCCCAATCAGACTGTCTTTAACCACAGGCAACCATCTGAAGGTTGCACTATGCACAGGTACTACATGCAAAGCTGTTTGAGCAATATTTGTATTAGTTATTTTTCTGCTTGCTAACAGTTGCCTATAACTGACACATGCCTGTCATCTACTCCAGGATATGTTCATAATATTGACAAGAATGCTAATTAGATCTAATATAAAGTTGTCTAAAACTGTTGAAAATGATAAAAATTGAATGTAAAGGCATTTAAAAATGTTTTAACCATGTGATAGGGCAGAGAGATAGCTCAGCAGACTAAAGCACATGCTTAGGCAAGTTTAGGCAAGCGCAGGGATGGAGGTTCGATGCCCAGCACTACATGCCCTGCCAGCCCTGCACCCAGGGTGGGCTGAGCCAGGCAGAGCCTGGGTAGAGTGCTGCAAGCCTATAATCCCAGTGCTGGGGAGGCTAAAACCAGGAGGAGCACCATGAGTCTGAGCTGCACAGTGAGACCCTGCAACAACCAGATAAATAAATAAATAAATAAATAAATAAATCATATGATATAGTTCTATGAGCAATTCACAGCTGCTTTACGTTAACAAATCATACTCCCAAAATCCATTAATGGGTTTGCACAGTCGTTCCCAATTTGGGCCGCATATTAAAATCACCTAGGGAGATTTAAAATCCTTAAGGTTTATGTCAAATTTAAGAAATTACATCAGAATTTCTGGAGGTAGGGCCTCGATGTCAGTATTTTCATCCTCCATGGACGTAGGGACTTTGACCGGGTGGACAGACATTACTTATGAACCACAGGTGGCAGATGTTCTTTCAGAGTAGCGGGAAGCCAGATGTTCACCAGACATTCCTTTCCCAAAACCATTATTTTCCATTTGAAATACTTTGGCCTTCATAAGTTATTTCCTGGCTTTTTCACCAAAGTCATTGAGAGGATTTAGTGCTCTCAAAAGAAAGAGCCCCTCTATTTTAAGAGTACTTGTGAACTATAAACCTGAGAGGGATGAATAGTCCCTTGTTCTCTACATAAGATCATCTCCCTTCTTGAACTGTCCGGAGGTTTTGAAGTGACCCGGTGACAGCCAGCAGGTATCTCCTGTCCAGCACCAGATTTCCAGAGTGACCGTCACCCCTCTCCTTGCTCTCAGGGACCTTGTCTCCAGTCTCTGGGGCAGGAAATTACTGGCAAGTATCTGATTTCATGCCAGAGGCAGGAAAACCAGGCCGCTGCGCAGAGCTTTGATGGTAGAGAGAAAAGAGGGCTCTTGGGTCTCCCCGAGACTGCACCCCACACACAACAGACTAAAAGGAGCATCCAAATGTCAGAGATCTTCTGCACTAACATGGTATCCGGCAACATTTTTAGTAAAATGCGTGAGAGGGATGCACAAGTGGTGCAGCTCCTGCACATAAAATCCTCCTCCTCCCCGCTCACCTGCTCCACCGAGCTTTCTCCACTCCGAAACATCACTTTCCAACACAGTGGCTCCAAAGGGGACATTTGTGTCTGGATAACTGAAATCATTAGATCACTGCAGGCTTTCTTTTTTTTTTTTTTTTTTCAGGAACTGGTATTTATTATCAAAGTCATATCTGATGTCAACAAGATGCCACAACTACAAAAAAAATTGCGCACATTGCAATCTCAATGCAAACAGTCAAATGGAACCCCAGTCATTAAAAAAGTAATTCAAATTACCCCAAAAAGCAACTGAATTTTTTAAACATCTTTATACATCCAGCCAACAAATTAAAATGGTTAACAAGAAAAAATACAAATTCAGAGGTCTGGTATTGATGTTTAAAAAAGGCAACTGCTTAAGCATTTCTATCGATCCGAACATCGATCTCTCGGCCGCTCAGCTTCACGCCGTTCATCATCCGACAGGCTCTCTCAGCCACCTCTGGCGATTCAAACTTAACCACTCCGCAGCCCTTGGACTTCCCATTCTCCATCTTGATGTCAGCATACAGCACGTGGCCACATTCGTTGAATTTGTCCTTTAGCATCTTCCATGTAAAATCAAACGGGAGATTTCTCACAAATATCTGGCAAGCCTTCCTGGCCACCCCAGGAGCATGGCTGTCAGCTCCACCAAAAGAGCCTGCGAAGCTTCCTCCAAAGTTTCCACGTTCCATCTCGATGGCACGGTCAAAGCTGGCACCACCACCGCCACCCATGGCCAGGCCCATGCGCTCGATGCCAGCGCCCAGGGCCGGGCCCATGGCGGGGCCCATGCGCTCCAGGCTGTTGGCACCCATGCGCTCCAGACCCATGCGCTCCAGGCTGTTGGCGCCCATCCGCTCGAGGCTCATGCACTCCAGGTTGTTGGCGCCCATGCGCTCCAGGCCGGTGGCCATGCGATCCATCACAGGGCCCATCCGCTCCAGGCCGGCCCCCATGCCCACTGCAGGCTTTCTATCGTGAAAGGTGAAGAGAAAGGAGAACTCAGCTAGTCACAGTCCACTTGAATTCAATAGACAGTTGTTGACAACCTAGTGTAGATACAAGGTACAGCGGTGGGCACAGTGGTTACTGAGGGGTCGAGATCTCCACACTCTGCCGGTTTTGCTCCTGGGGCACACTGAGATGGCAATCGAGACTGGGCGTGGTGGCGCGCTCCTATAATCCCAGCACTTGGTAGGCTGTACACAGGCAGATCATGAGTCTGATCTAGTAGTGAGACCCTGAACACACTGTAGATCCTTTCCTAAAATACAGAAAAAAAAAAAAAAATAGGATCTCCACACCCTGCAGAGAGGGCTGGTCTCAAGTTGGCCACTAAATGCTTAGCTTCACAGTTTTGTTTTCAGGAACCATCCAATCATGTCACTTCCCTGAAGCCAGAAACGTCCCTTGGAGATGCCTAGGGCTATGTATCCTTCTGACAAGTCTACCTGTCACTGGCAAATCTGTGCGTGTGCGGATTTGGCAAATCCTCACAGCCCTCTTCTCGCAGGACAGTCTGAAGTGCTTCATCTGCCTGGCTTTCTTTCTGTGGAGGAGGTAACTCTGCCATGACCCTCAGGTTTCATACTTGATTCCATAGTCTGAGCCATGTACAAAACACTCCCGGCATCACAGATAATTCAAGCAGGACATAGTTTCAAATTGGCAAACTTTATGAAAGAATGCCATCCTCCAATGTTTAGGCTAAAAATAAGTGATTTTAAAAGAAGACTCTTAGCTCCCTGAGCACCTGTCATAATCTGTGTATGTAGGCATCATGCAAAATACATCCCAGTAAAACAAAGTATTTTTTTTCAAATCTTTCATTTCAGGAAAGGGCCTGTAGTACATCCCAGTAAGCATTTATAGAGTGTTATAGGCGATTTTAAGTTTAAAACATGATTCCTTTGGAACCTGGGGTTTATAAATTTACTGTAGAACCAAAGTATGTGGAAATGCATCAAGGGTTGAGACAGCAGCAAATGAGTTTTAATAGGCTTTTTGGGAAAGGTGAGGGAGGGAGAGGAAACAAGAGGCCAAGGGAAAAAAAGTCACACTGTGGGGACAAGGGCTACAGGTAGAGAAAGAATAGTGTAAGGGCCTCCCTAGGTTTTACTAAAGAAATTAATAGAAAACCTTATTAAAAGCAACTTTGGCCACTGCCATAAGATTCAAACAATAAAAAAGACAAAGGTGAAGAAAGAGAGAGAGACAGAGACAGAGAAAGAGGGGCCGGACAGATGGCTCAATGGATTAAAGTGCCTGCATAGGCAGATACAGGGATTGAAGTTCAATCCCTGGGCCTGCCGTGCGTGCCCCACCCCCGGGGGCACACTGAGATGGTGACTGAGACTGGGCGTGGTGGCGCACAACTGTAATCCCAGTGCTTGGGAGGCTGAAAACAGGAGGAACACAAGTCCGAGCTGCATAGTGAGACCCTGTAGACTCGTACTAAATACATTAAAAGAGTTTATCAGAGGAAGAGCTGACAGACAAAGCTCAGAGGAAACCAGAAGCATGAAACCCTCGGCTCCCACCCCCACCTGCAATAAAATGCAAAGGAGACAAGGGGTGGCCACCTATCATAAAAGAAAACTCTTACTTAGTGTATGAAAACACACGCACCTATTCGTACATTCAAAGTGTATACGTTTATGCTAGCGTCAGCTCCCCATACTCAGTCACTAACTAAGCTGCCTGTCTCTAAGGCTCCTCCTCCCCACCTAACTTAAGCACCAGGACAGGGCAGGAGCAAATCAAACAAAGCCCACCAAATGCACGTGCACAGAGGCAGGGGCGTCTGGTTAGGGTTTTGCAGCCTGGGATCTGCTCAAATGCAGCCCAGAGAGCTAATTGGGTTGTGACAAATTCCAGGTATCCGTAGGGGTGAGGTTTTTGTCACGCAAGCAAAGGAGCCAGGGACAAAGGCCTGGGGGAGTCCATCTTTCTGGACCCCCCCCATCACCCCCAGCTTTCCGTCTTCTGCTTTTTCTTCTTACCAGTAAAGTAACTTTTACAAACTCTGCCCCCTTCACTCATTACTGGTGCTGAGTTTACAGTTTCAGCTGTGCTCACCCTGGGGGTGCTCGCCTGCGACAGGACAGGAGGAAGATAAGGAGAGGGAGACTGAGCAGAGCTCAGGAAAGGCCCGGAGGTCAGGGTGGGTGTTGTCCTCCATGGGAGAACTTACAGTAGAGAAGGGCCCTTAGCTCTCCTGCTTGCAGAAAAGTCAGCTTTTTATCATCGTGATCAAATATCTGAGGAAAGTAATTTAACTTAAAAGAGGAAAGGATTATTGTGCTTTGTGGTCTCAGAGATTTCAGTCCTTGGTCCGCTGGCTCCTGGGCTTATAGGTCTGTTGCAAAACAGAGGAAGATAGAAACAGCCCTGGAGGAAGAGGCCTGGGCCAGATGGAATCCCCAGTGTCCTTCTTCTCCCAGGACTCACTCCTTTCAACTAAGCTCCTTCTCCTGCCTCTATTAACTCTAAGTAATGCTATCACATTATAGTTAAACAGAGCCCTTGGGATCCAGCTGTCTCTGGAAACACCCACACGCTCACCCAGAAGTGTGCTTTACTAATGTTGCCCTCAGGATTAGATGATGTTACTAAAAATAGCCACTTTCTGCTGGGTGCCTGCACCTCAGCAGCCCTGAAAGAACAGCTGTTCACTCGCTGTTTACATAAAATGCTTACATAAAAATGTTTCCTAAGCTTTACCATGGCACTGGGACCTAAAAAGCAGAGGAGGACTGGGGACATAGCGCAGCCGTCTAAGCACCTGCCTGGCAAGCTCAAGGACCCAGGTTCAATCCCCGGAACCCCAGGTTCCATGCTGGCTCTGAGACTGCTGTGGTGGTGCATGCCTGTAATCCCAGCACTGAGGAGGCTGAGACAGGAGAATCACTACCAGTCCAAGCTGCATAGCAAGATGCTGTATCAAACAAATTGAAAAAATAAAGAAGAGGAGTAGGAGACAGCTCGGCTAACCAACAAATAAATAGCTCTGTCAGAGGAGGACATGAGTGTGGTCATGCTCTGCTCCTGAAGGACACCTTTTCTTTTCTTCTTTTCTTTTCTTTGTATTTGGCACAGGGTCTCACTATGCAGCTCAGACTCAGTGATCCTGGTGTTTTCAGCCTCCCCAGTGCTGGGATTGCAGGTGCGCACCACCACACCTTGACTCTGTAGCTGCTCAACACACCTGGGAGTGGGGCTAGCGTGGCATGCGGTACTGGGGATTGAACCCAGTCCCTGTGCTTGTCTAAGCAGGCATTTAGTCTGCTGAGCTATCTCATTGGCCCCAGGGCACATGTTCTTACTTTCAAGGCAGGGAGAGACCTCGGTGGTGGGACCTTTCGTGGATATGGGAGGCAGTCATTAGAATGTGAACTCTAGGCTGCAGCTTCCATCTCTGTGGTATTAATCTTTGTCAAGAGATGGCAGCAGCGCTCAGCTGGTCCCCCAGAGGCCACTTCGTCCAAGCCAGGACTGATAAGCTGTTCACATCTTCAGAGTAAGGAGGGAAGGTGGCTTTGAGGATCGCAGTTGGGCTTTTTATTCTGATCACTTATCACAGCATTTGAAGTATTTGAGGCATCACAAGCTCAAGGTGAACCAGAATACAGCGCTGCACTTTTTCCTTCATTGGATGATTTACAGATTACAGCTTCATGAACTTCCTGCGTGTCTGAGTACCTGCTCGGTGCTGGCAGTGAGCTGGGGGCTGCTGACGCTCATAAGTGAAAGAGGCATGGTCCCCGCTCTGGTGCAAGATGGAGCCCGTGGTGGGGTGCTATGAAGAAGGTATCAGGGAAATGCACTGGAATTATTCATGGAATGTACTTCCTATAGGTCCTTTAAATTATTCTCTGCCTTGAGTTATATAACTACTTTCTCATAACTGAGTGATCAAAGACATAGATAGGAGGGAGTGTCGCATCCCAAGGAGGTGCTTAGTGAAGGAGGAAGGAAGGTGTACAGTGACCCTCCACAGTGGAGGAGGGGTGGGCCTGGGACCTCCCATGGATGCTGGACCTGTGGGCGCTCAACTCCTTTATATAAATGGCATCATGTTTATATGTGAACTACACACGTCTTCCCATATACTTTTTTTGTGGTACTAGGGTACAACCTCAGGACCTGGTGCTTGCCAGGCAGGTGCTTATGCCTCTGAGCTATCTCCCTGACTCTTCCCACATACTTCAAATCTAATACATAATAATGGAAATGTTGTGTAAGTTGTTATGCTGTACTACATTGACAAGGAAATGATGACAAAAAAGAAAAACGTAAACATGTATGCATGATAGAGCTGAAATGTCCCAAATATTTATTTAATGAGTGGGTGGCAGAATTTACTCTGCAATTCCAAACTGGAGCCCCTGGCATCTGGAGCCACTGGCATCACACAGTGCTGTGTGAGTGTCTAGCAAGGGACCCACGTGAGACCAAGAGAATGATGTAGGGGACAGGGTCTAGAGAGGATGAGTGGTCTAGGGGCTGGGGCTGGCGTCTCCAGGCAGAGATGATCCTGGGCAGATGCTGTGCTGTGTGACAGGAGGGTCACAGGGAGGCGTGGGGACATGGCTTGTAGCAGGCACCAAGAGAAGGTCACTGGCCACAGCACAGGGAAGGTTGTGCAGGATGCACACCCCAGTTAGATGAGCATTTGGGGAGGCTTTGGGGGAAGGAGAGATCAGAGAGGACCAAGACTGGGTTTAACGGGTGCAGATCAGAAGCTATTGCAAGTCCAGAGGAGAGGGGACAGCAGCTTAGGCTGTGGTGAGTGGCGGTGTGGAGGGAACCCATCATGATCACCAGGCGAGGGCCCGGCGACATTTGGGCCCTCCAGAGTGAGGAGGACGAGAGCAGTTCTGACCCACACAGCCAGATGTGTGGCGAGTCGGAAAGTCTTCAGGGAAACTCACTTGCGGAAGGAGGGAAAATC